CTGGAGTGGTTTCAGGTTATTTAACTATTTCAACTTACCAAACGTCACTTTCGGTTAACTTTTGGAGTCACTCTTCTACCGCTGCCATCACACTACCCTCCAGCGCATTTATAGCCTCACCTGGCCTCATGTAATGACTCCAAGTGCCTTTGCTTGTCCCTTGAGGCTCTACTGATGTCATTAAATACGCCCGAGGAGGGCAAAATGGCACTCTTTGCTACCTTCCACTGTAACATTCTATGACATCAGCACAGAACACGGATTTCTTAGTTCACTATGGAGTGGACATTGGCGTCAAAATCAAGTACACTCTTTAAAGTGGTAAACAATTTCACCGGAATCACATCAGACCCACTTGGTGCTGTTGGGATGACTTTGAAATTGTCTCCTTTCTTCGTTCTAATCTCTGTGCGTTGTCTTACAGTTCGCCTTTTGGGCCTGTTTGTAGTTCTGTGTTGGCATAGCGTGTGGACATGTGCGCATGACAGCAATGTGACTCATCGGTTGAATTGTCATTCGTTTATTGCGTGGTGGCGATGCCCTCCCTCGACATGGCCTGCGCTTTGCTGTTTCACCTCTCATCAGTTTTACTTCGAACTGAATTTCGATGAGGATGATGTCAAATTCTTGCCAACCTCTCCACTTTGGTGTCTCTTTTGACCTCCACTGTCTTATGGTGCACCGACGTATAACATTGGAAATGTCTACTTTATCCTTGTATTGTTCCCTTCCAACAGGTTCCACGGAGAAGGAAGTAGTCGCAGGGATAGAAAAGGCATCAACTACGTCCATGTATCAACAAGTTGTGGATCCTGCAAGGGCTAACGTCGATGGTGCCGCCTGCAATTTATCAACCACACTGTCCACATCGAGGGTTGACGATACTGCTGTGTCGAGTTCGACGAAATATCGTCTCTATGCTGTGGTTTATCATCAGGGCGGGACACAGCATGGACACTACACCGCTCGGTGTCATCTGCCCGTGGCTGGATCCACCACCGACTCACACGCCTGGTTTCTCTTTGACGATGAAAAGTATCTTCACCAAATGTGTTTTTTGTTTTGTCC